AGAGGAAGGTTGAAGTTCACTAACAGAGCCAGACAAGGAATAAAACAGGGACTGTAGGAAAAACTCCCAGACTAAACCATGGAAAAATATCCTAGGCAAGTTTGAACTGGTTGCAGAATCCAACAAATAGAGCAATGTGCTGCAAAGCATCATGGAAAATGAGGTATACTCACAATTGTCTCGTACTCAAAATTACACTTGCCGTTGCAGGATGGCACAAAGATTGCTAAGGACACAGGTGCTAAGATCAAAACCAGGAACATTTCAGGTACTACAGTGAAGTCCCACTGGAGGTAATGAATGAAACTCTGGTTCAGTTTATTGCCTACTATGGCAGGTCCTTTGACTAGTGTAAGAATAAAGAAAAAGTCACAAAATTATACTGTGAGCCTGCCACCTTTCAGGAGTCTGGAAAGGCTCTAACTACACAGTTCCTCAGAAGCAGGGACTCCCCATGCAATGTATAGAACTACAGCCATGGAAGGACTTGAGCACCGCTTTAAAAAATGCCACTGAGGCTGCATCAGAAGGGGCAGGGGGGAGGTGTCTACCCCAGAGGAAAAGTTCGCTGAAATAAAAACATAAAATGACAATCCCAAGTAACCTGTTAAGTGCAGCTGACTGAAAAGGACAAACATCTGCCATATTTTTGAAATTTAAGTGTAAAGCTGTAATAAAGTGTAAATAGTAAATAACTGAGGTTGGTTTGCACTTAATATGAAATCTTACCCAACTGGCAGATTTCCTTTACATATTTTTACTAATTAAATAAAGTCTATGTGATTAACAAGTTAATTTACATGCACAGTGGGAATGTGCATGTTGTGCCTTCAGGAATCAGTGTTGACTTGCAGTTGTCATACTGGCTTATGAAGGAGACATTAAAACATTCTTTAACAAAAACATACATAAAGAAAATGACCTTCCATAGTTACAGTTAACAGCAGTACCCACTTTTGTCACAGGTGCAAAAAGAGAGTCACCAGTGAGGTTGTACCCAAGGACCACATCATTGATTGCATCAGTATTGTAAAGGCTAAAAACCAAGCCTGAAGTATTTTTAGTGGCATGCAGTTTAGCTGGAACCACTAATTCAAGTCCTGTTCAAAGACTTACATCAAAACTGCTCCAAGCTCCTCAAGAGCTGTCTCAAACGACACAGAAACAGTAAGCTGTAAAGACAACCTTTTAAGCGGAAAGCCTGTACTACAGGATCCCCATTTGCAAGTAGATACAATAGTGAAAAACTCTCAGCTGTTACAAAAATAAGTCCCGAGAGCCTGAACTGGCAAAACATGACAAGTGCAGAAATACTAACTTTTGTTAAAAGGTGTATTCTTGCGGTTCTTGTATCACAGAAGCATTTTAGAATACAAATAAAGTGCTTTGAGAGACAGCTTTAACATGCTTTAAGAGAACAGAGTACTTGTGGTCATGATATGTTATCACTGCCATTGCTTTACCTAGCCACGTCCCACGGGGCCAAAAAACAAAGACCTTACAAAATCTGGGATTCTTGGCTCTACCACACACTTAAATGAGTAATTAAGACCCAGAAGTTGCAAAGATAGATGCATGCTACTTATGCAAGTAGTAATTGTGCAATACGTTTCAAGAATGGCTTTATTTTTAGCTATGGGAATTAAGAGAATAAACCCTGCTTTTCTCACGAGGGACCTGCTAAGTACAGAACCTTAGTACAGGACCATGTGGAAATGCAAAGTGCACCAATCAGTCAGATTCATACCAAATTACATGCATTTACAGCGCAAAAATTTCTGGAGAGACACTCCAGGTGCATCCGCTGCAGCTGACTGTGGAACAGTGACACACAGAAAATCAGAATAAAGGATTCTTCAGATGTGAGCCAGCAGACTATAGGATAGCAGTAGGAAGCTAAGAGGAAGCAATGCAGTTAAATCCACTGCAGAACAATTCAACTACTTAAGAAGGAGATGCAGAGAGTCCATGGACGTGCATCACTTCCAATAAAAGACACCTTTCCCGAAAGCTCCCAAGAAGAAATTATTCTGCAATGACAGCCAGTGGGCTCCCCGGGTGGAGCCAACGTTTTGTCTTCTCCACTTCTCTGTCCTGTCTATTTACATTTGAAGTCTGAGAGCAGGGATGGGTTCTGATGACTCCAAAGAGCTCAGCCAAGAGCACCCCTTTCTCCTATTGGGGCAAAAATAAAATAAAGTGGAAATATGCATTAATTGGAAGAAAATAGATCTACTGCCCAGCTTTAGCTGAGCTTACACTGTGCAAAATCCCTCAGGTAAATCAGGCATTTCCAATTCCAATCAGGCCATAGACTTAACAGTTGCCTTTCAACCCACTTCAGCTTGAAAGAGAGGCTAGTCCTATCAAGGAGAATGAGGAAACTGAAGAGGATGCTCAAAATTTAGGATCAACATTGTAAAACTTGGAATCCTCTAGAGAGGAACTTAAAGGGGGGTACTTTTAAGAAGTCCTGAGCCCCCGTCCCCTGCTACCTGTAACTACCGGGTATTCAGCAGCTCTCAGATCAGAACATTTCAGCTCTTGCCTACATAAAAAAGTTAATCCATGCTAATTTTATTGGGCATAACTAAAATAAAAGACATGCTGTTTTCAATTTTTGACAAAATATCCTAACCAATGCTCCTTGCATTACCTTTCAGGCTAGGTAAAGAGTGATCAAACGCCAGAGACAGCAATCCCTGTCTCTCCTTCATGGTAGCTCTAATGGCCTTTCACAAGGCCAACAGAATAATCATACTAAGTGCACTGTAATCTCAAGGTGTCATTTTATCGAGGTTCCATTGAAATGGCAGCCATTAATGAAGCCGCACTTTGACTTATCTAAAAATACTGAATTAAAACTCTTTTCTGCCAACATTACGTAAATATGGTTGGCTAAAACACATTGAATTATCCTAAATTATCACCTCAAATTAGGTTTCTTAAAGCTTGAGGGTTTTTTTTAATTCAAGTTATTATTTAAAAGCAAAAGGAAAAATCACAGTAAGTTATCAGAACAATATACAGTAGCATATTTAATGAAGAATATACAGATATGTGTAAAACACATACATTCTACATTTGTGACAGAAGAGGAAAAGACTCTGCAGCATTAGTTTGGAAAGACCAAAGGGGAAGAAGCTGGGAGTGGGGAAGATGATAGAAAGGCTACAGCAAAACTGGAGTTGAAAAAACCCAACTACTTCCAAATGTACTTGTAATCCATTAACACTGTATCTTATAAAATTCACAGAATAAAAGCCTTCACAAAGTATTAGATACTTATCTGGGCAGAAATGGACACCATTGCTTATTTCTACACAGACTAGTGATGCTATGCCAACGTGATGGCACTGAGAGGGCCCCGGCAGTGGAGGACTTCTGGGATGGGTGGTTGGGAAGGCAGGCAGGCAGGCAGAAGCTGCAAAAAAAGTGGTGGAAAAAATGTAAAGGTCTCTCTGAGATCACTGATCTGCACGGTAATCACATAAAACTACAGAGGGATAGATTAAAGAAGCAGAGGAAAAAAAAAAAAATCCACCCCAAGAACTATGAACAGCTTGAAAGGAGATGAAGGTAAAATAGGATTTGAATCCAAACAAAATACATTTGGCACCTGAGACAAGAAAGTCAAAGTTGGCGTGAAAGAGAGGCGTGCAAGAGATTAAGTGTAGCTGCCCATGAGTCAGTACCAATGCAAGCAAGCCCTCCAGCCACTGCACACTGCATGAGGGGAGCATCTGTAAACAGATCCCTGCAAATTATGTCTATTAATTATGCAACTGTTACCATAATACGATTGAAAGAAATAGCCTCTATTTTACATTTTTTAAAAATTTATTTTAGCAGGATCATTTTCCTCTATGTAAAAAATGTTATTAAAGAAGATGATTTGTTCTTTGTGTCCATTGAGAACAAGACAAAAAGCGGTCAACGTAATTTGCACCAAAGAAGGTTTAAATGAAACCTGAGGGTCAGGGATGAAGGCTGAGTAGGGAAACTAAGAGGCTGCAAATCCTCGTGGGTGAGTGGGCATTTCTTTCTTAGCACCAGGCTAGAGAAGCATCTACACAGGATGGCTTGGGGCCGTGAAAGTGGCGTCGGGGTGAGGAACCACTGTTAGATCCGTGGTTCCTGCCTTTAGCTGGCAAAGCTTCACGAAGACACGCGTCCGTTCCCCAGCCTTTTAAACTGTTTGATATGTGACTGAGGGGCAGCTGGCTTAATGAAGACCGAAGCTGGCGCGTGTGGAGGGTAAGATCCACAGTCACTGTTCTCCTGAATCAGGACGACTGCCTGAGTCCTCCTCCTGCCCCCCGATTCTCCGCTGGGTAGGAAGGATGGGAGCTGCACATACATCTTCGGCCGAGGGCGCCTGGCGTCCGCCGGCAAATGGGAAGGGCGCGGGTACCGCGGGCGGCTGCCCTGCTTTGCTGCGCCCCTCGGGTCTCGCCCCGGACCGCCCGCGGCTCTCGCCGGATCGCAGGGACGCTGCTCTGCCTCTCCGTCACGGTTTTTGCCGAGGCAAGCGACGCGCCCTGCTTGGGACACGAACCCTTTCTCCTCGGGGACCGAGAGCCAACGCTGGCTGACTGCCACTTCGAGAGAAACAGCCTTTACGTCGGCGGGACACGGGCCCACGGAGCTCCGCTCTGCCCCTAAAGTCTCCCCGGCCGCCGAGGCCCCGACCCCGCCGGCAGGG